GTCCTCCATGAGGACCATTTGCTTGAGCACCCCCATAATTTCCAGAACCTTGGGATGAATCAGACCTCCATGATGCATTACCATACCCTGAACTTCCATTTACATCACCATATCCACTCCCCATGTAACCACCACCACTCCCTTGTAGATCTCCCCCACCCACACCAGCATTATTATTAGGAGTACCACCAAAACGACCTCCAGCAGCCCCATATCCAGCATTCCCGTATGATCCATCACTTGCTCCATATCCACCATATCCATAACCTTGATTCCGTACCCAGTAGCTCCAGTGGGAGATTGACCAGCAGCTGCAGAACCTGGGCCACCACTGCCAGCACCCCAAGGAGCAGCATTTCCATAACCCATAGCACCATAGCCAGATGGATTTTGAGCGCCCCAAGAACTTCTAGCGGCACGGGAGGCCCACTTGCATAACCAGCATTGGGATTCCCATAAGTGGCACCCACAGGAGCACAATAACCAGCACCTGCAGCACCATAATTTCCATAACTACCATAACCAACACCATTACTTGCAGGACCATACCCATAACCAGGTGCATATCCCGATGAGCCATAAGGTGGAAAGCCAGCTCCAGTACCTTGGGCACGCACGAAACTGTTGGAGTCCATACGACCATCATAAGAACCTGAATTCCCGCCAGAAGAACTATAGCCCTGGTAACCTCCGAAACCACCACTCATAGTTCGGCTAACTGCACCAGGATTTGCGTCTTTAGGAAGGGCTGGCTTCACTTCAACTTGCTTTCCATTCAAATCATGAAAATTATTCTGCAAAACCCTATCAACTGCATCTTCCGTCTCAAAGGAGATAAAGCCAAATCCACGGGGCCGTTGAGTATTCTGGTCATACATGATTACTACATCAGTGACATGACCATAAGCCTCAAAGTATTGACGAAAACCATCTTCAGTTAAAGTCGGAGGCAACCCTCCGACAAAAATTTTCTTGGTTCTGATATTTCCACCACCTCCGGAATTTCTACCCTGATTAAAATTGCCAGATCTAGCAGATGTTTGCTGCTCCTCTTTAGATAAAGCCCTTTTTGCCTCAACCTGGGAAACAGTTATCTTATAATTGGGAAACAGCAAGACCAATAACAATACAGACGAGATAAATACAGAAACTTGAAATAAAAAATCCTAAGCTAACCAAACAATATATAACACACCAAGAAAAACCAAGTATAAAGTACATAATTAACAATAAATACACATAATTGGAAAAATACCATGAACCCAAATTTATTCCCCTTCCTAAAATCAGTATCAAAAAGGAAAACTCATCGTAGTCATCAATAACCCTAAACAATCACCAACACACACCAAATAAATACAAAACCAGTAAGAATCTCACCGTTCTACTATCGATAGTGTGTTTCTCTTGCAGAACAGAATCGAGGACGGACGGATCTGAGAAGACAACGAATCCGAAACCTCGAGGTCTACCCGTAACCTTATCTCTCATAACAACAGTCTGTACGATGTCGCCGTATTGACCAAAGTATTCCTTCAGCCTATCCTCGTTTGTTTCCCATGATATCCCACCAATAAACAGCTTCCCCTGATCTGAATCCATTCCCCCTCCTCTCTTTTTTCTTCTCTTTTATTCCCTCAAAATCTAACAATTTCTTCGATTTTCAGTCTTAAATTAGATTAGGGTTTTTGGATTTTTTTAGGGATTTGGAGAAGAAGAATAAGAAGACAAAAATAGATTTTGAGGGGGGCGATGTTGAGAGAGAAAGCCGCTTGGTAGAAGCCAAGAGTAAAGAAGGGAATGGATGTGTGAGGGATCGGGTTCTATGCCGTTTGGACGGTGGATATTGTGGAATATTTTTGTTAATAAACGGCTGGGATTGGATTATGGAACAGGTCCGGTTTGGGCTAGGTTTTAATTTTAAATAAGGTTTCAATTATGGTTATTAAATTGAATCAAATGTATCGAAAACTATGTCAATACTCACTAAGGTTTGGTTTAGTAATCGTTTTCATTATTGATGTTTAAGAAATTACAAATCGATCATTAATATTATCATTTGTTATAAAATGATCACTACATAACGAAAATCACAAGTGGAATTTAGATTGTTGACCGTCACAGCTAGACTATTTTAATCATTCTTCTTCTTCAACCTCACCCTCATCTTCTTCCTCAACCTAATCAAACTGTTTCTTTTCCTCTCCCAATATTTCCCCAGAAAATTTCCCATTTTGACCGTTATCTCATGTTTTCTCCATTAAACCTTCCACCAAATTCCTCACTTCCTTCTCTCCTTCTTCCATCTTTTTTATTCTTAAAACTTTACTCAAAATCCAAACCTAGACAACCATTTGAGGGCTTAGTTGAAGTTGAGGCATTCTCTACTGCATTTTTATTTCTGAATCTTGTACGACAACTGCAACACAAATTGTACATGTGAGTAAAATAAAACCGAAAATGGAATTATATCACTCTGAAAAACTTGAACGTCCCTACCTATAGCCAAATGAAAAAAATAGCAAAAGATAAGAGCTTAAAAGGTAAAACATGATTACTCAAGGATAAAGAAGAAAGTGAAAATGTAGAAACTATATTAGAAGAAATTTAAGAGCACTTTCAAATATAAGTTGTACTTTGGATCAACCAGACAGGGAGATGATAAATAAGAAATAAGCATATAGCTCACCTCGAATTGGAGGCATTTTTCAAACGGAAGCATTTCCAACATACTCATCCTCCTGCAATAAAACCCAGAAATGAAATAAGAAACAAGAAACCTATATGCTTCACTAGTGCATCGACCAGCTTGAGATTATCTTGCTGGACAGTTTTCGCACAAACCACCAAGGTGTGAACGAGTCGAATCCCGGTTTCCTGTGTGTCAATCAACACGACGGGACGAGTTGATGACTTAGTTACAGCACCGGGAATTCCATTCTTCTGAGATGATGAAAGATCTGAAGGATTGTAATGAACAGTGCCAGAAGAAAGATGGGAAACCCCATCTTCTTGAGCAATCACATCTCCAATAAAGTAAATATTAATAAAAAAAAATCAATCCTATAAGAACCCAAAATCTAGGTACCATTATTGCATGTTAATCTTGTTTGATTTCAAAGATCCCAAAATTTAGGGTTTATGTTTATATTAGGGTTTATTGAAATGATGATGGATTTTGATGTTATTGAGGTTGTAGAATCATTTCCAAACATAATTGATGATCAAATCATGATCAAACCTCCAAAAATAGATCTATAATTTTCGGCCTAACCCTAAAATTAGAGAAAGTTTGTGTTTTGATGAAATTTGATTAGGGATTTGATTGTAGAGATTTTATAATATTGAATAGAGGTTGATTTTATGCTCGAATCGAATCGAAATCAAGTGAAGTCATGAAAACTCTAATCTTGATTGTTCAAAGTATTCATCCTAGGCGACGAGGGTGAGAAAAATTACGGAAAAATTATGTAAGGTTGGAAATGATGTAGGAATGATTCTACAAGCCTTAGAAAGTTATAGGGACCCTCTTGTAATTTTGTGAAAGTTGGGGGACATATTATTCAATTGTGGAATCAATGTGTAATTGATCAACAGTTGATGTACTATTCTGGAAATTAATGTATTGAAATTGATGTTAGGATGTGAAATTGGGTCATTTTGGAAAGTTGGTAAAATTAGAGGATAAAATCACAAATATGAAAAAGTTGAGAACTTAATTTAAAATATTATGTGAAGTTTGGATAAATTTGGATTAAAAGGAACTTGAATGGTCAATTTGAAGTGTTAAGGTCAACATAGATTTTGGTGACATTAAATTAGTATTAAATGAGTATCGGAAGATTTTTAAGAAATTATTTTATAATGTGTGTTTTTGTTTGTAAGATTCTAACATGTGGTTTGAATTTATATATGTGTTGTTATGATGCTCATTTAGATTATGTGCTTGAAATCAAGATCAAACATTATTAAAGCTAAGGAGAAGCTTAAGGATGAAATGTGAATCTCTAAGGAATATTTACAAACTAAGGATATTAGGTGAGTGCAAATTTAATTTGTACTTATGTTATTAAACAAACATTGGCTTGCAATGAGACAGTGACGGAGTTACTATGGTAAGAAATGACTCCTAATTGTGATGTGTTTTGTGGTTCATGCATATTTGTTCACTTGGTGAGCTAATAGAATTAGTGAATAAGCTGAAATTGCAAATTGGTGAAATCTACTTAGAGTTGTGTTCTGAACAAGTTTAGAAAATCACCATAATTTCTAAAGAAATTATTAGAGGATAATCTTTATACCGTTGGATTCGTATACCAATCTAGTTTTGTTTAAAAGAAATGGCTTCTGATTTCGAGGTGTTTAAAAAAAGATATGACTTTTTAATCAATGATAAGTCAGAAAACATGACAGCAGATTCTGCTCAAAACAACTTCTGCAAGTCAACATTAAAAATTTACCATAAATCGTACAAATTGAACTAGTATAGGAAATCTGAAAAGATTATAAATATACATAAAATTATATCTTTGAAAAATCCCGGAAATCTGAAAATCATATCTTTATTATGATGTCATGATGTTTGGTTATAAGGATGAGGACAGAAGTAAGATTTTACATTAGACGATGAACTCAAAATTATAAAATTTTAGGAAATGCAAACTTGGACTTTCATAGGAAAAAAAAGAGATTTTTAATAAAAAAATATAAAAAATCTAAAATATATGATAATTTTAAATTTTTAAAAGGGACGACCGGCCCCTCGATTCACCCTTGCTCGGCTATACGAGCACCATAAGAAAATGCTTTCGTATCATTGAGATCAACAAAGAAAATGATGAATATAATAGAAATAACGTTGCTTGTTGATATATGTATAGTTCCATCTAAATCGTAGTTTTATGCGTATGCTCTTTTTATAATCTTTCATGTTCGAGACTCGTAACTATTCTTTCAAACAATGTAAAACGATGCAAGAAAACCATAATTTATAACTTACAATGTATTTGCCAATCACACTCGATCTAAGTCCCCGAAAAATAAGGGCAAATTATGTATGGTACCCATCAAAGAATAAAGAATGATAATTTAGATACTGGTTTTTATCACTTCAGCTAAAACACAAATAAACTCCCAGTCTTCTTTCACTTGCTTTTAGTTTCGTGATGCATGTGTAAATCCCCAAAGCTGCAAAGTACGAAAGAAGAAGAAGAAGAAAAAAGAATAAGAGAAACGATCGATGTTGCCCGGAGTATCGAGTATATGTCCAACATGAGCATCACGCACGGAAACTTCAAGAAAAATACAGACTCGAAACAACATGTAGTAGAAACTGAATTACCTCGAGGTTCCTTAGTTCGAAGTTTTCGTTACAAGCCAGACATTGGTTCCCAAACGTTTCGCAAGGTCCACTAGTTCCACATAACCTATTGTAAAAAGAAAAGAAAATCACAATAAAGAGAAAATATGTAAAAGTAATTTGAATGGATGTCTAGTTGTAGGGACTAGAAAGAGAGATTGGCAAATAGAGAGTTACAGATCTCCGTCGAAGCTCAAAGCAAAGTTGCCACCACCTCCAAGTGCAAACATGTCATTCATACATATATAATAATAACGATTCACACCTGTTTAGATTATATGATGCAAGATTAGAATTTAGAACCCATAAAAAAGACCATTCGGCATGAACTCAAACTATTAATGGACTTCTTTGATAGCATTTAGTAATAAACTGAACCGACGAAGGGAACATTTCAAGTAGGGTAAATGAGACAGAAACACAGAATACAGTAGAAAATCTTCAAAGAAAATTTAACATGCTTGTGTCTGATACATACCAATTTTCGACACTCACCGAAACCTGAGTAATATAGCATTAAACTAATCTTTCCCTCCATGCATGTCATTATCATGTGTAGGCAGAAATATTTTTCCAAGCATCTAAGAAAAAATGTAATCGATATCACCTCGATTGTGGTTGATAAAGGTGTTATTGTTAGGCATGTGTTGAGAGAAGCTAACTGGGAAGCAGATGAATATGCTAAGTTAGGGATAGGCTAATTGGTTGGGATATATTTGTTGCATTGAGTTTGTTGTATTTGGGGAAGATTTGGTTATATTTTTCAATTGTGTTATGCTTGCGTTTGGTTGATTGTTTTTAGGATATAGTTTTCTTGAGTTGGGTTTGGTCATTGCTATGATTCTGTAGTTTAACATTGATCATTGTTGAGGTGGTAGTCAGGTTGTGTTTGGTGGTGTTGTACTCTTCTTGTACTTGGTATCTATGCAATAAATTTTGAGACACTCTTTTCCTCCTTCCAATGTCCGTTGAGCCACTCTTGTTGCTTGACGATTATGAAGGGGTTTTTAACGAGGCCTCCCTTTTTATCAAAAAAAAAAAAATGAAGAAAGAAAGAAAACAAAATTGCATACCAGTGGGTCTAAATAGCCTCGGTTCACCATATTTGGTTGTGAATACAAAAGTCTGGTTCGTTCCCTGTCATGAAAGAAGAAAAATAAAGCTAAAAAAGGCGTGAAGTTCCGGTAGATAAATTAAGAAATGAAAGGTCAGAGAAATGAATTGAGCAAGCATGCAACAAATCAGAAGGAGAAACCATATCATGTAAAACAAAACTACATTCGAAACCTAAACTGGTGGCTGTTGCGTACTTGATATTTTCTCTTCGGTGTTGGTATCACGGGCATTCTAACATTGCACCAAAGACAGCTCCTTGCTTATCTCCAGTAATCTATAATTTATACAAAATCATGTGAATAATTCCAGGTATTAAAAACTAATCAAGGATTTGTAAAGTTCTGAAAGATTCATAGACAGCTTCTAATAACGGTTGCATTTGTAGTATAAACATCAACATACCAGCAAACAAGGGCCAGGGAGTTCAGCACTCTTACGAATTAGCGTACGAAGTGATATACCGTGCTTCAACGTACTGCCCTTCATTTGGAAAGAGTTAATTTCAAATCAAGATCGAAAACCAAGAGCAAACAGCACAGCTTATCACAAAACTTACCTATACAACAACATCCATTGACACCCTTTAACAATATTGGGGAGGGAAGACATTAAGAACTCGTACAAATCATAGTTAATGAATACAGATTCATCAGAAAGTTTTGGTGTAGGCTTCATTGGACTCTGCTCTCCGCTTGCTTCTTGAAATTCTTCAGAATCAGTACTGCTGCTTTCAGAAACGCGGTCCTTATTCTCACTAGGAGGACTAAGTTTAATGACCATTTGCTTATCGTCATTATGAATCCAAATTTTCTTCTCATCTTCACTAGCCTTTTTTGATTCTCTGCTCGTACAAGCAGTCGTGTATTCTTCACCACTATTCGGGGCTTCATGTTGTATCGAGAAGTAGTTATGACAAACTTTAACAAACATTTGCTTATCGTCATTACGAGTCCAAACTTTCTTCGTATCTTCACCTGTCTTTTCTAGCTCTTCGGTTGCAAAAGTGGCGGTGTATTCTTTACCGCTGTTCGTGACTTCATGTTGCATCTCTAACTTGTAATCTTTCCATCTAACGGGATGCGACTGAACCAGATTTAGACTAGTTCCATTATCATTCGATTTAGACTCACCGTAGCTTAGTGAAGGAATAATGTCAGAAACTATCGAAGAAAAAGATTTTGACCCTTTAGAGTACCATCTGGCCTACACATCCAAAAGTTTCATTTCATGAAATCATTCAACAAAAATTCATAACTTTCAAAACTATTAGTCAATGAAGGTATTGGTTCTTTCAAAACATATAAATATGTGTGCGCGTATACATATATAATAATTTTATCATTCCAAAGATCAAACAATTGAAACTTTAAATGAACCCCCCCCCCAATTAATTTAGATCAATCTATGAAGTGGGTTATCTTAAGCCTAGACAATGACAATATTTTATGAGAGTTTCAGCTATGAATCATGAACGTGTACATTAAAACGAACATGAAAAACAAAAAACATTTCTTTATGAGAAATAATAAGCACATTTTTATTATCTGTTACCCTTTCTTGCACTGTCTAAGCTATCAGAAATAGTTTCTTACAGGGGATCGGGGACTCTGAAAATTTCAAATTCTCGTATAATTTAGATATTTATTTACATTTTCTTTTGATTATTTAATTTCCCTCTGTCATCATTTTATAATTCCGCACACCCGAATTTCTAATATATTTCTTAAAGGTTAAAACCACTTACACAAACTCATGTGTACATCCCTATTTTTTATGATTAGGAATCAAATGAAAAGAAAAATAAAACAAACCCAGAAAATTTAAGTCGTTTCTCAAAGATCATATATAAAACATATAAATATCACTGCCCAGGTTGAAGGAAAAAAACCCACAAAAAATCAATAAAAAATAGCTACATTTGCTATATCCAACCCAGATCCAGATTTCTAACAACAAATATATTAGAGGAAAAACAAGTAAATAAATCACCTGAGAAAGATCTGGCACAGAAGATGGAGGAGAAGGAGAAGAAGGAGACGGTGAATCTGCAAATAAACGTGAAATACTTCCCGCTACTTTATCTTTCAACGTGTACATTTTCGCCCCAATTTTTTTTCTGGGAAATATATATGCACATACAGATTTTAACCCATATATATTTTAGTTAATATATCGAGATTTTTTTTTTGTAGAATTGAAGGGGAAACATTAAATTTTTCTGGTTTGAACAAAGACTAGGAAGACGAGAAAGAAAATGAGGGAAAATTGAAACGGAGAAAAGCAGAGAAGAGGGAAGATGCGGTATTTGATGCGTTCGGCTTAGGGATGGCAATGGATCTTGGACTCAACCCGAATTCTAGTTTTAGATCTGTTTTACATGATCTGGATCCTAAAATTTTAGATCTAATAGATTGAGATCAAATCTAGATCCTCTAATTAAAGCAGGGATTCGAGTATGCATCTGACACTAAGATATCGAATTTAAATCCATTTAAACGTTTATAGAAAAAAGTTTTAAAATATATATAAATAACATAATAATTTTAAAATATATATAAATATTTTATAGAGGAAGACGCCTTAATTACATTTGTATAATTGTGTTAGAGTTTTTTTTATACTTTAGTTTATCGTTTTTTATTACTGATTGTATTGAAATTAATTTTTACTTAATAGGAGATGTGATGTGAAATTAGTCAATAACAATTTTATTATGTTAAGAAATAGGTCGAATGATTTTTTTAATATATCTATTTTAGACCTGAATCTGTGAGATGCGTTGGATTTGGATCTAGGTCTCAATTTTTTAGACCCACGAATTTGGGACGGGTCTAAATCCAAGATGTAAAAATGGATATAGATATGGGTCTAGTTGGATAAGATTCAAATCCAGTCTGTCGTCATCCCTAGTTCGGCTTTTCATGTTATTTTTGAACAAATTTAATATGTATTCTTGTTACATATACGATCCGATTTGGTTAATTTAGTAATAAATATTTTTAAAACTTGTTTTATTCACGAATCTTGAGTCCGTGGAACTGGATCTAGGTCTCAATTTTCTAGACCCGTGGATTTGAGACATGTCTAGATCCAAGATGTAAAAATAGATTTGGGTCTAGCTGGATCCGACCCGTTGCTATCCCTAATTCGGCTTTTCGCGTTATTTTTTAACAAATTTAATTTGTATTCTTGTTACTATACGATCCGATTTGGTTAATTTTTTATGTAAATTTTAAATTAAGTTAATTTAAACATTTTTGTAAATTTATTCAAATTTTAACGGAAATTGTTCCTTCTCGAGTCACGTGGGTTAAAAATCAACTGTCAATCTCAACGTATAATATACACTATATGACCGACTCCATATTATCACCTTGCTGGACGAGTAACCAAGTATCTTTGCTATCCGTCTCAAGCACTGTGTGTTTCAGACCCAACTTTCAAGCCATAGTAAGTCCTTCTAAAGCACCCCAAAGCTCCGCATCTAACACCGTACATACTCCTATGGTCTCCGAAAAATCATCGATCTAATTTTCCGAAGCATCTCAAATAACTCCACCGCATGTTTCGAGGTCAGTTACGGGTCTATGAGCCCCGTCCGTGTTAACCTTGTACCATCCTCTCAGTGGAGGAATCCATCGAACGTCCCGAGATTGCCTGTTACACCTATGTAAGGGCGCTGAAAAGAAATCTCGTGCTTGTTTTGCTTCCATAATCAACCGTCGGCTTCGTTGCAGCACACTCTCTACCTACAAAACTTCCGGTGAAAATATGACTTGGTTCCGTCTCGTCCATAGACACCACAAAATAGATCCAAACAACTCTAAAGGCACAACTTCCATCGTCAGTCATATGCCGTCGCAATCTTTCTTCATCACTCATCAATTTCCACTTACAGATCAGCCAAACAAGGAGGCGAACTCTTGGTAAGTCCTGAAAGTTCGATATAGTTTTTTAGATCAGGTCTCTATTCGTTCCATTCTGTATCTGTATGCACTTGAAATTAAAAAAATGTCGACGTTTTTCCTATATCCAGCCAGGTTTATCATCTCTTCCATTTACTAATGGCAGTTTAACAACAGCGAGGTGGAGCATCACGAAGATGGTAAACATAATAAAAAATTCAACACGAGTCATTTTTTTTATTTGTTTCAAAATAAAAACTAAAATTTTTAAAGACGGATACTAAAATGAAACAACAATTAAACTTTAGATATGATTTTAAAAAAATAAAAGTTTATATATTAAAACAAACTAAAACTGATAGTTTATATACTAAACACGTAATTTACCTTAAAAAAATTAAGTTTGATATATTTCATTAATAATTCCATGTTAGTAATTCATAATTCTGATTTTCGGAGGTTTTTCATAAAAGCTGCTCTCAACCTAACGTTGGGACAATCTACTACCTTACGTCTCCTCATCTCATTACATATGAGAATTACATATAAGAATAAGGTCATCTAAATTTTATATAGTTTCATTAAGCCATACAAGTTATCAGTTATTAGAGTATGAACTTAATCGGAGAACCGACAAGCGCTGTTCGAGCACTGCAACAACAACCCATCGGCGACCCACGAATCTTCCATGCCCGAGCACTGAAATCCCCACGGTTCGATCGATCGATTCTCAACAATATAATCACTCTCTACTCCAAATCAAACCTCCTCGATTCCTCGCTTCGAATCTTCAATCAAATCCCATCGCCCAACATCGTCTCATGGACTTCTCTCATTTCAGCTCACTCCAATTCCCCACTTTCCCTCACTTTCTTCCTCTCAATGCTCCGCCACCCCATCCTCCCCAATCAACGAACCATAGCTTCTCTTTTCAAAGCTTGCGTTTCGCTTCCTCGTTGTCTTTTCTTCGGCCTCTCATTGCACGCTCTTTCCTTTAAGCTTTTCCTCAACACCCAACCTTTTTCCGGCTCCGCTTTGGTTAACTTTTACTTTAAATATCGACTTCCGATGGATGCGATGAAGGTGTTCGATAAAATGCATGAACGAGATGAAGTTTGCTATGCAGCGGTGATTGTTGGGTTGGCGCAGAATTCTAAGCCGGTTGAGTCTTTATCTTTGTTCTCTGCAATGAGGTCTTGCGATGTGAGTTCTACCATGTATAGCGTTTCGGGGGCGTTACGAGCGGTAGCGGATTTGGCTGCTTTAGAGCAATGCAGGATGATTCATGGGCACGCGGTTGTTACTGGGTTCGATAAGAATGTGATTGTAGGGAGTGCTTTGGTTGATGGGTATGGGAAATCGGGGCTTGTTTTGGATGCGCGGAAGGTGTTTGACGAAAATGTTGATGCCATGAATATTGTAGGGTGGAATGCTTTGATGAGCAGTTATGCACAACAAGGTAATGCGAATTCGGTAATCGAGTTGTTTCAAATGATGGAGGACGGAGGCTTGGTGCCGGACGAGTATAGCTTTTTAGCTGCGCTTTTGGGCTTTTACAATGCCGGCTTGGTTGGTGAAGCTGAGATGTGGCTGAAGAGGATGAAAGTGGAGTATGATTTAGAGCCGTGGCTAGAGCATTATACATGTTTGATCGGTGCATTGGGCAGAGCAGGGCGGTTGCAGGATGCCGAGGGCATCGCAACAACAATGCCGTTTAACCCTGATGCTGCAGTGTGGAGATCATTGTTGTCAAGTTGTGCTCATCATTGTGAACCAGATATGGCTTTGCGGATGACTAGAAGGTTGCTAGAATTGGATCCTCACGACGATTCAGCTTACTCGATAGCTGCGAATGTCTTATCAGCTGCAGGGAGATGGGCAGAGGTTGCCAGTACGAGGAAGTCGATGAAAAATCGGAGAGTCAAAAAGGAAGGTGGGAAGAGTTGGATCGAAGTCAAGGGGGAAGTGCATGTGTTCATGGCAGGGGATAGGAAGCACCAGAGAACTGAAGAAATCTACACAAAGTTGGCCGAGTTAATGGACGCAATCGAAAAACTAGGATACAGGCCAGTATGGGATGAGATGTTGCATGAAGTAGGAGAAGGGGAGAAAAAAGAAGCACTTCGGTATCATAGTGAGAAGTTGGCTTTAGCATATGCAATAGTAAGCGGAGCTGCACCGGCAGGGAAGCCGATAAGGATTGTAAAGAATCTCCGAATCTGCAAGGACTGTCACGAAGCTTTTAAGTACATAAGCAGAGCAATAAACAAGGTGATCGTTGTAAGGGATGTTAACAGATACCATAAGTTTCATAGTGGTAGTTGTACTTGTGGGGATATTTGGTAACAGTCTTATTCATTTCGGATTTCGGATTTCCGAATCCGAATTTTTGTTTAGAACATGGAGAGGGTGTTAGGATTGATGATCCTTTGAAACAATTGAATCCCAGAGATGATTTTCGAAACCAATCAAGGTTGAGTGCTATAAGATGCATCAATGAACCCAGAGATAATGTACACGAGTGTGCAAACGTGGTGGAGGAGCAAGTGGCCATTAAGTAGAATGCTCATGAGACGGAGGAAAATAGCCATTGAACATGAGGAGGTCAACATAAGGGGGGCGTATTCAATTTGATTCAGAAAATATTTTTTTAAGAAAAAGGTAAACTACATAAATAGTCAATGAAGTTTTAATGCACTTGCATTTTGGTCACCACACTTTTAAAATTACAATTTAATCACTGAACTTTTACTATCCTTATCTGTTAAAACGTTTAGTTAGTGCGGAATTAGATTGTCAAATGAAAATACAAAAGAAATACCTAAATTATATGTAAATTTAAAACTTTTAGGGGTACAATTGTCTTTTACCACCCCTTGATCCATCCTTAAATATCATCAAATTGATAAAAGAATTAAATTTATTGAATTGTTTTAAATTAAGATTATACTGATAGAATGTATAAATTTTGAGAACTAAAACTATTAATATATTATATCATATTGGACATTGATTTTAATTTTAACCATGGAGTGACTTAGCTGTCACAATATTTAATTGATTGATTATTTTTTTTTTAAAATACCCAAATTGTAACCGAATTGATAATAGAATGACTTATTAGTGTATTTTACCCTTAAAAGGGACAAGAAAGAGTTATGGTTAATGGATCCCACAGGCGATTCGTTCGCCAATTTAACCAACTCTCGAAGTTGATCGTCCCCTGGCATTCCCAGCGTTCATCGCATAAACAAAACCCAAAATTTTATAACTTGAATACATCCATCTGTTTTCTTATTTTCCGAATTCAGTCATCTCTAAACTAAAACACCCACAAGTCTGATTTGCTATCAACAGCTGAATACGATCTTCAACAAGTCAAACCAGATTGAAAAACCAAGTGGGTCTCCTTTTTCACTGAATTTTTCATTTTTTTTTGGAGATTTGATTGTTGAAAATTGAGAGCTTGATTTTTTTTAATTGTTTTTTTTGGGAAATTTTGTAGTGTTTCCAAGGGTGAAAGTGAAAGAACAAGATCAGGATGATCAACAAGTTATCAAGGATTACAGGATAAACTCTGTATTGTCTTTGAAAGATGTTCTGTTTCTCTCCATGCTTGATTCTTGTTTTCCTGGTATTCTTTCTCTTTGCTGCTCTTTGAAGTTTCATCGCTCGGTAAAATCAGTTTCTGGGTTAAAGGTGTAATCGATTATTCTGTTTTGATTGATTTGATACATGGTCAAAGTTGAATGATTTGTGTAATTATGTTTGTTTCTCAAAGTTTATGGGATGTTCATAATCATGTTTGATATCCATTCATGAAGCTAAAAGCACTCCGCTTGTTTGATGTCATTACTCTCCCATGCTATCCGAGAACTGAAAAATTATTGTACGAACCCTTTTCATTATTATCTGATGTAAATATGAATATGGACGGTTACTTGGAAATTAATTATAAGTAAATTAGTGTGTTACAGTCGGAGGAGATGAACAGGGAAGAGAAGAAGAAATTGGGGAAACAATTAGGGGAAACAGTGATCTAGGGTTAGGATTGAGGCTCGAGAGGGAATTGAAAAGGGGAATTTAGGGATTGGAAGAGGAGAAAAGGATCTGAAGCGTTTACCTGATGAAGTGAAGTTACCTGATAATGGTTCTGGCAGAAGTGGATCGGCCCAAGTCTACATACGGGAATAGTGAAGCAGTCCAGCTTGGTGGCCCAACAACCTGCAAGGAGAGAAGATAAATTAGTCTGTTATAGGTTGTTATTTGTACAGACAGTTGGCTCATTATTAAATGACAATTGGAGCCCTGCAACTAAATAAGATGCTGTAGAATCACTCTGATTTCTCATGTTATGAATGAACAAGCAATTCTTCTCTGAATTCTCTCTAAATTTCTCTCTATTTCTCTTAACTATTCCTCGATTTCTCTTCTAATCGACTTAAACCATAACAAATTGGTATCGAGAGCCTCGGTTTTTGGCAAGTTTGGTGGTATGCCCAAGAAAAATCAGAATATGGCAGAAGACTTAGCTGGGTTGCAGAAGCATATGGAAGAACTGACAGCACTGGTGAAACAAGGACGAGATGAGTCTAATCCACCTAAATGGTGGGAAACTCAGGAAGAGAGGATTTCTACACTGGAGTCTAGATTGGCTACGAATCATGGATAAGTGGAGGAAATCTTGAAGATTTTGACTGGCAGAAAAGAGGACCAAAATCAGTTTGAGGATCAGGTACATACCCTTGATTCATCTAATATGAGTAACAAACAACCTGTTAAGGTGACAGTATTCAGTGATAAGCCTCGGTTTACTTATAAACCGGATGAGCCTGGTATTCTTAAGTTTAAACCAAATGTCTTGCCTGCTCATATAGCTAGCTTCAAAAATGATAACCAAATGGGGGAGAACAGTGCTGTTAGAACTCAGTTAGTGGCTTTAGAAGTGGATAAAAGAGGTACAAGAGGGTCTTCTAGTATGTCAGGGATTATGTTGCATAGACCAAAAATTGAGCTACCATTTTTTGATGGAAGTAATCCCAGAGGTTGGTTACAGAAATGTCAAAAATATTTTTCATTATGTAGTATTGCTGATGAACAGAAGGTGAAAGTAGCTACAATGTATCTGACAGGTAAAGCAGAGATTTGGTTTGATGGGTATATTATGCAAAAACATCATATGACTTGGCATGAGTTTGAGGCAGATTTATGTCATAGGTTTTGTGATAAAGCCTTTGTTGATATAGTGGAGGAATTTACAAAACTGATCCAAAAAGGGTCTGTAGAAGAATATCAGGACAGATTTGAAGAACTACATCCTCACATGCTTCTGCAGAATCCTACTTTAGGTGACGAATTTTTTGTCTCTTTGTTCATTATTAGACTAAGGGATGACATTAAACACAGAGTTAAAGCTCTAGACCCTAAAACATTATCTGAGGCAAGCAGGCAAGCTAAATTATATGAGCTCCCTGTGGAATTTGAGAGTAAGAGATTCAGACTTTTTGTTAAAAACCCAGCTCATTCAATTCCTCTACCTGGTTCTAAGCCTAACCAGCTAACACTACCACTGAAGAATACATCCACTACAACACAAAAACAGAACTTGATAGACTACAGGAGACAGAATAATTTATGCTTTAAGTGTGGTGAAAAGTTTGTTCCAGGCCATCAGTGTAAAGCAAAACAGTTGAATATGATGATTGAAGATGAAAATGTCTTACCTTCAGAAATTTTATCTAATGATCCAGAACAGCAGAATTTACAGGAGGAAGAAAATCTAGAAATATCTATGAATGCCATTACTGGATGTATTGGTCATAATACACTGAGGATTCAGGGAACAATTTAGGGAAGACCATTGAATATACTAATTGACAGTGGGAGTACCCACAGTTTTTTAACACCTCAATGGGCTGAGGCTGGTATACAGATAAATACTCTTCATCCTTTGGCTATTACAGTAGCTAATGGGCAGCAACTCTACAGTTCAGCAAGGTGTAATGAAGTGGAATGGAAGATGCAAGGGCACTCTTTTATACATGATTTCAGACTACTTCAGTTGGGGGGCAGTGATATGGTGTTATGGGTGGATTGGATGAGATTGTTTAGTCCAATTGATGGACTTTAATAACATGACAATGAGCTTGTGCATAAGGGGAAGCAAATCATACAAGGTCAACAACATTCAAAATTTTTACAGCAGATTTCAGGAGCTACCCTATTGAAGATGACAGTTTCTGATTCTCCTCTTTTGGGACATGTAGTGTTATTCAATATGTGTGAAGATTCCAAGACTACTCCTACAGCTATCCATCCTCTTCTGGACCAGTATCAATCTATTTTTGCTGAACCTACAGGACTGCCTCCTACAAGAAACCATGACCATGCAATTCCTCTTAAAACCTGAAGCTACCCCAATCAATTTAAGACCCTACAGATTTCCCTATATTCAAAAAGCTGAGATAGAGAAACATATTGCTAATATGCTTTCCTCCTCTGTTATTCAACCAAACAAAATTCCTTTTGCTTCTCCATGTCTTTTAATTAAGAAGAAGGATGGTACCTGGAGGTTTTGTGTTGATTACAGGAAGCTAAACAGTATGACAGTGAAGGACAAATTTCCTATTCCTGTTGTGGAAGATCTACTGGATGAATTATGTGGAGCAGTCTATTTTTCTAAAATTGACTTAAGGTCTGGTTATTGGCAGATCAGAATTAAGCCTGAGGATATCTATAAGACAGCTTTCAGAACTCATCAGGGCCATTATGAGTTCAAGGAAATGCCCTTTGGGCTTACTAATGCCCCTGCTACATTTCAAGCATTAATGAATGAATTATTTAGTTCATTCTTAAGAAAATTTGTCTTGGTATTTTTTGATGATATCCTAGTCTATAGTACTTCTATGGTTGATCATATCATTCATTTACAATTAGTTCTGGAAATTTTGAAAACTAATCAATTGTTTGCCAAGATGTCTAAATACTTATTTGGACAGACTCAAGTTGAGTACTTGGGACATATTATTTCAGCTTCTGGGGTTTCTATTGATCCTACTAAAGTAGCAGCTATGAAGAATTGGCATGTGCCAAAATCTTTAAAATCTTTGAGAGGTTTTTTGGGATTGACTGGTTATTACAGAAGGTTTATTAAGAATTATGGTACCATCAGTAAACCTTTGACTCAAATGCTTAAGAAAGACAGTTTTCACTGGAGTACTGAGGCTCTAACTGCTTTTGAAAAATATGAAGTATGCTATGTGTGTTGCCCCTGTGCTAGCATTACCAGATTTTGGGAAGAGTTTTTATTTAGAAACAGATGCCAGTTCAGGAGGAATTGGGGCTGTCTTATCTCAGGATGGTAGACCTATTGCCTACCTTAGTAAGGCTCTTAGCCCTAGACATGTTGCCCTATCTATATATGAGAGAGAATATCTTGCTATTCTAATGGCAGTATCTAAATGGAGGCATTATTTAGAAAGCAATCCTTTTATCATCAAAACTGACCATGAACCTCTAAAATATTTGTTATAGCAGAAATTAACTACTGTCATCCAGAAGAAATGGCTGACTAAATTATTGGGGTTGGACTATTCTATTCAGTATAGGAAGGGTAAGTCCAATGTGGTTGTTGATGCCCTTTCTAGACAGTGGGAAGATCAAGGTCAGTATATGGCTATGGGTACTACCCTAATCATTCCTAGTTGGGTGCAAGAAGTGGAAGACAGCTATAAAGGGGATAAAATGGCAACTGACTGGTTATCTATATTACCAGTAAGTCCTACTACTGACCCTTGGTGGACATACTCTAAGGGCAAAGTATATATTGGAGGTACTGGAACATTAAGATTACAAATTCTTCAACTCTTACATGATTCACCTCATGGGGGACATTCTAGAACACATGCTACTTATCGAAGGATTAAGGCTAATTTTTATTGGCCTAAGTTAAAGGCTATGGTGGTAAATTATATTAGAGGATGTATAGTTTGTCAATAGACTAAAGTAGAACATGTTCCTAAGCCAGGACTCCTACAACCATTGCCTATTCCTCAACAGGCTTGGGAGATTATTACTATGGACTTCATAGAAGGCTTGCCTACATCTCAGAAGAAAAATTGCATTTTGGTGATAGTTGATAAATTTACTAAGTACAACCACTTCCTAGCCTTATCACATCCTTATACAGCTACTGATGTAGCCAGAGTTTATTTGGATACTGTTTATAAACTTCATGGCCAGCCTAAAATGGCCATTTCTGACAGAGACAAGACATTTACCAGTCTCTTTTGGAGAAAACTGACGAGGCAACTGGGCACTAAAACTCTATTTAGTACTGTATACCATCCAGAGACTGATGGTCAGACATAAAGGGTGAATCAGTGTGTGGAACAGTATTTGAGGGGTTTATGTTTCTTTCAGCCAAAGCAGTGGGCTAAATGGCGCCACATGCAGAGTGGTGGTATAATACTACCTACCACACTGCCCTTAAGCTTACACCATTGAGGCATTGTATGGCTACAAGCCTCCTACTATGGTTTGGCAAGCAAACTAATGTGCAGTCTGTTAGTGACTTAATGAGAAGTAGAGAATATATCAGACAGTTAGTGAAGCTACAACTTGAGCATGCAAGTAACAGAATGAAACAACAAACAAACAAGAAAAGAACAGAAAGAGTATTGTAGTTGGAGATTCGGTTTACCTGAAATTGCAACCCTACTGTCACTTCGTTGGCCCTGCACAAGAATTTAAAGTTAGCAGCTAAGTTCTACGGCCCTTATAAAGTTATTGAGAAGATTGGTGAAGTTGCGTATAAGTTAGACTTACCAGATTCTTCTAGATTACATCCTGTCTTCACGTGAGCTTCCTGAAGAAGCACGTCGGGGATTCAATTGTCTCTTCAAGGAACCCTCCTGCCATGGACGATGACGGACGATTAAAATCGAGCCATATAAGATTATGGGTAGACGAATCATAAATAGACAAAACAAACCTGTAACGCAGTGCTAGTGCGCTGGAAGAACCTTGATGAAACCAGTGATACGTGGGAAGATTATACGGTTCTTTGAGGCCAATTCCCTGAATTTGATCCTTGGGGACAAGGATCCTTTCCAGCAGCGGGTATTGTTACAGTCGGAGGAGATGAACGAGGAGATGAACGGGGAAGAGAAGAGAGAGAAATTGGGGGGAAATAATTGGGGAAAACAGTGATCTAGGGTTAGGGATTGAGGCTCGAGAGGGAATTGAAAAGGGGAATTTAGGGATTGGAAGAGGAGAAAAGGATCTGAAGCGTTTACCTGATGAAGTGAAGTTACCTGATAATGGTTCTGGCAGAAGTGGATCGGCCCAAGTCTACATACGGAAATAGTGAAGCAGGTCCAGCTTGGTGGCCCAACAACCTGCAAGGAGAGAAGATAATTAGTCTGTTATAGGTTGTTATTTGTACAGACAGCTGGCTCATTATTAATGACAATTGGAGCCCTGTAACTAATAAGATGCTGTAGAATCACTTTGATTTCTCATGTTATGAATGAACAAGCAATTCTTCTATGAATTCTCTCTAAATTTCTCTCTATTTCTCTATCTATTCCTCGATTTCTCTTCTAATCGACTTAAACCATAACATAGTGTCAGAGAATTCATGAAATAATTTTCCTGATAAGAGTTTTTCAATTTTTTTTATGATTAAGAATATCACATGTTCATATGGGAGAAATGAAAATCATGGTATCATGTTTGGCAGTGAAAAGGCGTGAAGATGATTCTCAAATGTCCACAGCAAGAATTCCAAGTCTTATCTACCAGAAGTAGAGAAACATTCAGATTCTTCATCTGAAGGTAGAGTTTTTGAGCACTTCCAAGTCATTACTTGGAAGGTTATTCGTACTTCGAATAAGTATTGAATATGAGTACATGTTCGGTATGGCTATAGTTATCTTCGGAGAACCATACCCCTTATGTCGGATGTATGAATATTTCATGTTGTAGTTAATTCAGTATGATTGATTTGCAGGATCAGTCAAAAGCAAGACAAAAGCTGATGCTGAAGAGGAAGCTAGACCAAATATTAGAGTGAGTTCCACGCCGCGTCCTCGGGCTGTCATATCTAGTCCTGGTAATCACATTGTTATATTAGAGTTCGTCTATGTTATTCGAATTCGAGTATATATGTATATATATGTGTGTGTCTGAATATCTGTTTGTCAGGCTATAATACACCTACGGAGAGTGGAAAAGGCTTTGCAGCATCATTAGTAAATTTGCATGCTAAAATAGAAACATGATTGCAGGTGGAGCCAAGGGGTTTATGCAGCTTCCTTAAGCATATGTATGTTGTTTTCATGACATTCATTGGTGACGTTTCTTCTGCGTTTTTTTTAATTAAACCAGAGCGATGCGGTGATCATATAAAACAAGATCGAAGGGAGACAACGGACGGCTTGAATCCAGTGGTAGATCGTCGATCATCGCTGTCACTTGCCCAGTTTGCATCTGCAAATGCCTCAACAGCAGTAGACCCTCCATTTGCACGGAAAACCAGTCCATGATTTAGTGTTCCCTTTAAATAACACAAAATGCATTTAACAGCCAACCAGTGCTCCTCACATGGACGTTGCATATACTGTGCAACACGATTATGCTGAACGTAATATCATCTAGCGTCGCTGGTTAACGAAATTACGTCCAACATAACTGTATTTCAATTTTCGTTAATCCACATAGTAAGAGGACACTCATTTTAAAGTTGAGTGAATTAAATCATCTTCTATCGAGTCAAATATTTTAAAAAGAAATTCACTCGATTTTAAAATTCATAAAAATAAATGGATTGCTATTTTTTTGAATTCGATTATAAAAGTTCCACTATTTAGACAATGTATAATCGAGATGTATCAATTTTGGACACTGTGGGGTGCTTATCCTTCCCCTCGCGTAATCGACTCTCAAACCCTTTAAAATGAATCTTTGGTAAACGCATACCATTTTTTATCTTAAAAAATGATTTTTATTAAAATTATTTTAAAATACATTTTTTAGGTATTCGACCTACTTAATCTAAAAATCGATGGTGACTCCAAATTTAAAATTAAACCAAATTCAAGTTTATCAAAACAAATTCATAATTATTTTTAAATTTAATTTATTTATAAAAAATAATTATGACAAATATAAACCCAAAAATTACATAGATCACAAAAACAATTACATCCTCCCAAAATAATTCTCTCATAATCCTTTCATATCTATAAAGTCAAATATTTGTTCACTAAAAAAGTGATTTCATAAGATTATTTTATTTAAAATAAGCATTTAGTTATTAAATAAATTAAATCATCAAGTAATCTTTAATCATTGTAATTACAATAAAATTCAATTTAATTGTTAATTAGAATTTAAATCAATATCAAAACTCTTATATAATAAAAAAATTTCCAACACATTATTAAAATAAATTTACATTTTAAATTTTAATTATTATTTTCATACAATCACATATATTTTGATATCCTTAATACTCTATCTCGTTAAAAATGTCTATTTTAGTTTTTAAAATAGTCTCATTTAAAATGTCCTATTAAAAATTATTTATTTTATCCTATATGTCTTATTTTTTATATCTATCAAAATAAATCAGTCAAATATATTAATCATCTTTTAAGAATAATTTTATCATTTTTCTTAATCAAATGTATCCTAAAATTATATAAATTTATATATATAGTTAATACAAGATACAAATTATGAAAAAGAGGGGTTTAGGGTTTATGAAAAAGAGAGGGTATTAAGTTCGCCAATCAAAAAGACGGGAAGTTCTACGGTGTGACAGTCTTAATATACGATTAAAAAATGAGCTATCGGTTTTGTTATTATTTTTTTAACAAAATCGGTAAAAAATTACTTAAACGTTATTATTTCTACCGGTTTTGTTATTATTATTAATTATCGATATTAGTAAACGCGACATAAAAACCCGGTAAAAATTAATGTTTTAAGTAACGTTTTACCGGATATGTTACCAAAACCGATAAAGCGTCAAATATTAACAAAATCGGTAGAAATAATAATATTTTTAATCATTTTTACTAATTTTATTATTTAAATAATAATAAAATCAATAACATATTTTTTAACCGTATAGAATAATTATTATCTTTATTTTAATTTAGCAGAAATTAAGGATAAAGCCAATCATGATTTAAATTTAATAAAAAGAAAAAGAAAAATACAATAGATTTAATTTACTAAACTATTGAAACAGCTTAAATTCAATGGAAGGATTATAAATGGATAAATATTTCAATATCCAATTAAAAATATATTTTTAATATCCTAATTTTATATTAGGGATATAAAATTTTAAAAATTATATTATAAATTCTTAAAAAATTAAATTCTAATTAGTAATTTAGTTAGTAATTTAATTATATATTAATGCTAATTAAAATTAAATTCTTAAAATAGATTAATCATGTAGCTATCCTTGAATTTTTATTTAACATGGACTTTTTATATGGTATATTTAATGTGTCACTTAGTAGTGTTTCGATGTATAACATTCACCATAGAATTTTTTCATTCGATATACTTGAACATATGAAAAACATAAAATCCTAATGTGTGGGGCTCTCTCGAATATATTTTAATTCCTTATTATATATAATATTTGATTTAATTTTATAAATAAATTTGAAAAACTCTCAAACTACTACACCATAAAAGAAGGGTTCAAAAACTTCAAGGACTAAATTAAAAAAATTATCAAATTCACTGATCAGAAGTTGCTTTATCCCTAAAAGAAAATTGCAAAAAGTGCGGAAACATAGCCTCGACAGGGGAAAAACCCTTTTTTTATTTGTTCTTTTTGCTTTTAAGTGCCTACAAGCAGTTCTCCATTCAAAGTAGCCAACTGAGCCAACCAAAAAAAAACAAACAAACAAACACAGTGGAGAAGAACTCTCAAATCTATGTTACTAAAGGTGATCACTTTCTGCATCTCTCTAAACAAACGGAGATTTCTTCACATTTTAATGGTTTTTTTATGGGTTTCATTGTCTGGTTCATTGAGATTATTGTAATATGGTCTTTTTTTTTTTGCTGTGCACATCTTGATGCAGAGTGAAGTGTTAGGATCGATAAAAAAGGTTCTTTTTTTAATTATTCATTTGGGGTTTTAAGGAGGTTTCATCAATGGCTTCTCCTTATCCCATTCCAGTTACTGCTACTCAGGTACTTAAAAAACGTTTTAATTGTTTGTTGAAAAAATCTGGGTTTTGTTGTTGTGTTTTTCATTGCCTTTTCTCTCTCTGGTTCATTAATTTTTTTGTTTTTTTATTTTTCTTTGAATTGTTTGTTGAAAGAATGAAAAAAATGGGTTTTTGTTGTTGTCCTTTTGTTTTCTAGGTGGGAACATATTTGTTGGGCAATATTATCAGGTACTTCAACGGCAGCCACACTTGGTGCACCAGTTTTTAGTGATACCAGTACCATGGTTCGCGTCGATGGCGTTAACAGGTATCCGCCACCGGATTGCTGGTATTCTCTGGTTTATCGAGTTCGATTTGTTTGATCTTTGATAAAACTAAGTTAATTTGATGCCATTTTGTTGCATTTTTAAGGAGTATGTTATGTATCAAATTAGATGAATGGTTCAACCTGTTCACGAAATTTTAGTTCATTGAATGTATTTATTGTCTGTTCTTGTCATGTGGATAATCACCGATTGAATGATGGCGTTGCTAACTTGCTGTTTGATGCCCTTTGTTGCATTTTATGGAGTATGGTCATGTATCGAATTAGATGAATGGTTCGACGTGTTCACAAATTTAGTTCATTGAATGCATTTAGTGTCTGTTCTTGTTGTGTCATAATCACATATCGATCGAACAATGGCGTATACTTGCTATTTGATGCCCTTTCTTGCGTTTTTATGGAGTTGGTCATGTATCGATTAGATAAATGGTTCGATGTGCTCACAAGTGCATTAAGTGCATTTAGTGTCTGTTCTTTTTATGTCGATAATACATATCGATTGAAAGATGACGTTACTAACTCGCTATTTGTAATCAATATTCAATACACTTCTATACAAGTAGTGATAGGGTAATGCTTTTGTTCTTGTTTATGTTGTCATCAACTATCTTGGTAATGGAACTATAGGCTTACTTTTCCTATTTTCATTCCGAAGCAAATCCATGCTCTTGTTATGTCGCTCACTCACTGCGATTGAGATAAAGACAGCGAATCCCTAGAATCGTGGAATAGAGGTGTTCTGGTGACGGTTTCTGGTTTGGTGCAAGTGAAGGATTTCAATCCCCGGGGAATTTGTGCAGACATTCTTCCTTGCGCCGCAAGTAAAGGCTATTTCGTTCTAAATGACGTCTTCACTACATTGAAAAGGAACAAGTTCCCCAACATCATGCAGTCCTATTATCCCAGCACAATCTTGATCGCGAAATCAATGCTTTCGTAACAATCCCAAACCAGGTATTTCCTTTCCGATTCTTAATGTGAGATTTATGATTGAATCCAAATCAATGCTTGCGTTCCTTTAATGTACTTTACCATCTTAGAGAGTACTACGTCTACGATGGCTTTGCGATCTACACAAGCTTTTCTGGAATCTCCAATTTCTTTTAATGTTTGTTTGTGGTAAAATTGCTCTGAAAGTAGTAGTATGGAGGCTAGTATATCTTTTATGTTTGGCTGCTAACATTAATTTTGTCGTAGTGCCAAGCTATGCTGGGAGGAGATATCCACGGACAGGATTTTTGGCTCCGTCAGTGCCAAAAAACGGTGTCGTTGACAAGTATGGTTTCTCGGAGCAGCAACTGCAGCAAGCTCTGGAACCTGAAAGTATTGTGGAGAACATTGTGTGCACGAGTCCAATGGTTCATTCTACATATGGTGAATACTGTCCAAGAGCATGTGCCTCCTGCTGTTGAGGAACCTGTTGGGGAACCCCAGAAGCAAACCTATGCCAACATTGTACGTTTCACGTGTGGTGCTCAATTTTATGTCATTCGTATTTTTTACTTACGAGATATTTGTGTTTATTGAATTAAAAATCGGCTTCTTTTCGTCTTATAATTTAATTTTTGTTTTCTCCGTGATTGTCTAT